ACACAGGTTAAAATGGCAATTAAAGGTTAATTTCCCACATCTGTGACTTTTTAAATTGCAATTAGTGTCTGTGTATAAATAGTCAGTGGGTTTGTTAGCTCTCATGTGGATGCACTGAGCAGGATAGATACTGAGCCAGGGGGAGCAGAAAAGAACTGTCAAAAGACCTGCATAACAAGGTAATGGAACTTTATAAAGATGGAAAATTATATAAAAAGATATCCAAAGCCTTGAAAATGCCAGTCAGTACTGTTTGATCACTTATTAAAAAGTGGAAAGTTTGGGGACCCCTTGATACCAAGCCAAGGTCAGGTAGGCCTAGAAAGATTGCAGCTGCAACTGCCAGAAGAATTGTTCAGGATACAAAGAAAAACCCACAGGTAACTTCAGGAAAAATACAGGCTGCCCTGGAGAAAGACAGTGTGTTTTTTTTTTTTTTTTATTCTTTCTAAGTAGCACAATACAACAATACATGAAGAAAAATGATCTGCTTGGTCAAGTTGCCAGGAAGAAGCCTTTACTTCGCCAATGCCACAAAAAAGCTGAATGAGGCATGTCAAGGTGTTGTTTGGTATATTGTAACAAAGGCTTTTTTGTGCATTGGTACAGTAAAGGCTTCTTTCTGGCAACTGTAAAAGCCTCCCTTCTCATGTGTACATGTCAAAATGCCCTGAGACTGCTGCGGCAGCAGCCCTCTTAGATGTGATATCATCAGACTCAGAGCTGTCTATAGACAAACTATATTATTCCTTTTCACTTCCTACGAAAGGTTATGTAGGGAGGTAAAAGGGAGAGATGCAGGAGCTGGGTAAGCATAAAGTATATTTAGACCCAGTCCTTAAAAAATAGTAGGGTTAAGTAAAATCTCCATTAAAATGGAGAATGGCAAAAAGCATGCATACACTGCAGAGTAATACACAGCAGATAATGAAAGCTGCAGAAATATGGACCCTTCACAGCAATATCTTTGTGCTCAATCAGGGAAACATGTGGCTGCATAGCATAGTCTCTATAAGATTTTAACAGAGAATCTAGCTGTGAATCACTACTTTGATAAAATAGTTCAGGACGCAGCTACCTACAATTATTCTCATAAAAACAGCATCCCTCTCAGTGAAGTTCAGGGTAGCTCTGGTAGCACAGAAGAATAGCTGAAGGAATCCAAAGCCTGATGACATGAGGAGGCCACCCTACGGGGAATGCAGTACTCAGGTAGCAATTGGGCCTCCCCACTGAGAGGGATGCTTAATAATAATTGAGAGATGCTTAAGAATAATTGCAAGTAGCTGTGTCCTGAACTACTATGGGGCTCCCCATAGTAGCTGGATCTTCCAGAGCAGTTATGTGCTATTATAACACTCTCTGAAATGCCTCTGACTATCCAAAACTATAGTGGATCTGAATACCAACTGGTAAGATGGGCTTCTGTCACATTATAGGTGGTACTCTATGGGTGTAAATCTATTCACAAAGTAGTTGGCCCTTTCCTGGAAAATGAAGGAAGCTGGCATTAATGCACCAATTCACTCATCCACCTATGACTTGTATTAATGTGGAATTAGAAAACATTTATTCATAAGAATAACCATATGGATAATATACCCAATGGACCCCTCCATGGATAACACATTAGAAACACTCTACTTGCAGTCAAAAGAAGCAGTGTAGAGACAAATATGCTCTACCGTCTTACTTGGGACTTATATTGCTGTAGGGTTTAACAAACTTGAACCTACCTACCATATAGCTAATGTGCCCCCTGACATCTGCCCCCATACATGGATCACTCAGCAATGTTATTATATCTTTTTTTTGGTCTCTGAACAACTTTGCACTGGAAGGACACACCTAGTCAAATATACCTTTACATAGTATGCAGGCCTATTGCTTTGTTTTGGGAAATCTAAAGGAGATTGTATTGAAATAGTGGCAGCTTTAGTCAAAGTATATGACTAGCTATTTTTAGTTTAGGATAGGGTATGAAATGGATAGAACTCATGTCAAGCTATTTTGCTATCTGGTGAAAATGGTGTCGCTGAGGCAGGACTTGAGGGAAAAATCTCTAGAAGTTACACACACAGCAACTAAAAGCTAACAGGTGTTCTAGCTTTCCCCCACCCTACTAATAAAAACATTTTTATTACTATTGTGTCCCAGTTATAGAGATTTTCCCTCTTTCTGACTTGGTGACAAGTCTACCAAGATGGCCACCTTCATAGAGAGGCGTGGTATAGAGCATGGTATGGTAAGTCAGTTATGGGGAAGGATCAGCTACAGAAATCACCAGCAATACTGGTGATTAGTGCTTTCTCCTCTGCCTGCCTTTTTTGTCACAGCTCCTAGAGTTGGGTTTTTAAAGCCAAATTTGGTTTCAGGGTCTTTGTTTTTTTGCATGGAAGCACCGACAGTATTTTAAACTGACTGCAGTACTCTTACCAGGGAGGAATTGGTGCTCTTACCAGGGAGGAATTGGTACGTGCTGTACTGATAATTTAATTTGTCATACAGCTTTTTATCATTTCAGTTTTTTTTTTAAAAATACATTAACCCATCAAGAAAATTTTTTTTTATTAATTTAAAACATATTTTCCAAATAAATAGGCATCAATAAACAATAACACTACAAACGGCCAATGCCGATTTATACATAGATATAAATATTTACATACAACCTTACAAGTAACAACCTTACCAATTAATCAATATGGAAATTTTGTTTAAGGCAAACATTTTCACCAATGAAATCTCAGAGTGTGGACACGCATCCTGTTAGAAAACCACACTCCATCTTACTGTACATATGAACTTACTAATGGGGGACATTTGTCACTTAGCTTAGCAAAATTGTATGAATTTTAATCACATACAAAGTCTTATTTGTTTAATTGTCCCATACATATTGGAAGCTCAAACTGATTAGTTAGTTGGCTAAGTGAAAAATGTACCTCCTTTAGTAACTCTGATTGTGTCAAGCAGTTGTCTGGTTTTTTTTTTTGTCTACATTTCAGTGCCAACTTTTCACAACCTTTACCTACAACCCTCCAAAGCTTCAGTGGAAATACCTAACCTAGGAAGACCTATAGCAGCATTTATCAAACTAGGACAATCTGGATCTCAGGACCAATAAAACAATGTATTCAGGAAAGAAAAAAAATTGAACTACAAGACTTGGAAAGATTTTGAATGATTATATACAGTAATTAATTTCTAATATATTTGGCAGATGGTGCTTTTTTTAAAGCAAAACTCCAAATAAAACTTTAAAATGAAATTGAAGGCTAGTTATGTATTTTTTAAAATACTGGTTTAAAATATTTTTTAAAATAACTGCCTTAAATTCACTATCAGGTTTTATTGTATAAAACAAAATCATCAAAATCAGATTGTAGAGATGAGAGGCATTGAAAATGTATTTGACGTGTTTGAAAGTTTATGTTTTTTTGGACAATACAATTGACCATGTAGATCAGAAAGAAATAGGAAATAGCTTTTCAGCTTTGAGATTCCGCAATATTTTCTAATTTAATTATACATGACAGCGACCCAACACTGTGCAATGTAGACATTTGACCTAGGCATGTTATGGAAGGGTAGAGTGAGGAGTTAATGAATCAGGCTGGTAAGCTGGAAGTGACAGTGGTTTCACCTGGCAACGCAGTGTAACTGTGAATTGTGAGCTTTACTGAGGTGAATTACATGTATTTTGGCGGATAAAATAGTTCACATGTTAAATGAAATGGACAAACCGAAAAAGGATCTTTTCAATACATGTCTTGTAATGCTCAACGGCAAAATAACCCCAATTCCTCTGCTTCCTACAACACCCTCAGCATCTTTATCATGAAATCCTTTAACTGCCTGCCAACCACTACTTTTTACAAAAATACTTTGTAGTCAGGTCTCAGTGTAACACTGGACATACAGGCTTTGAATGAATTGATTCCCCTATGCAGGGTGCACAATGTGGATAGAGGAATGTCAGCTAGATTGGATGAAAGTGCTGTTCGGCAGAGAATTTTTGGACTGGCTGCTTCAACAAAAGTCAATTGAAAAATTGACTCTTGTGGGGGTTGCCAACAGGGGCGCCCACAGCTCAATTTTCTGCATATTTAGCAGCTATTTCAAACCGTGTATGGCCAGCTTAAGGCAGAATCATAGTAATACTGTATTTCAGACATTTTCTGTAATATTGTAATATTACATTTCCAGATGAAAGATCAGTTATATCTACAGAGGGGCTTAGAATATTGTGATGTGTAAGCCTGTATCAAACGAGTGTATTTTTAGTAATACAAAAACATGTATCAATAATTTTGTAGGCTCCCTATAGGCTTTTGCCTACTCTGCCTAGTTAATTTAAAATGCACAACACCTTTAAATTAATTTTTTTTAATAAATATTCACTATTATATCTTGCCTCTGAATAGTTGTCTTGTTGTCTTCAACTTTAAACCATACAGCCTAAATCTAACTCCAAAGAAACATTTTCCACCCAAACAAAATAGGCATAAATTAAGAAAGGAATGCGTGAGTTCTGAAGATGTGACAACATACCCATGAATTAAAGCAACAAGATCCAAAAACACAAACATGCCAAAAAATATTTTCAGCTTAATTTAAAGGGGTTTCCCCCCCAGTCTCCAACACCGAAGAATGACTCCTCGATAACAGATTTGCCAAGAACTGTCTGCAGGTATCCAGTTTAGTTCAAATCTTTTACTAGCAATGTTCATAACTAGGTAACTTGACCTTTGCTTGCTTGTAGAGAATCCCTGGACCTTTGTGTCTCCTGCTGGTTGCAGCTATAGAAGACCTACTCCTTCAGAAAGTAAGGTTGCTGATGGTAAACTGAATGAACAATCTCTGAACTGAGATTTCTGCATATTCCACCCTCGTTAGTGGTCAATGAGTCAACACCACAATATTCTTGATGAAGTTCACCTAGTGTTCTCAGATGACAAAGGTTTCCTGTGTGGAACAAGGACATTTTCATTTCTCAATCATTTGAGTCCATGCTGTGTTTCACGATGTCTTCTTAGATCCACCTTCCTCTGAAAACCTTTCCCACACAGGTCACAACCAAAAGGCTTGAAGCCGGTGTGTTTTCGGCTGTGAGTAATCAGGTTTGAGCTCTGACTGAATGCTTTGCCGCACACTTGACACTTGTGGGGTTTCTCACCTACATAAAAATAGAAACATGTTTTCAGTATAGCTACACATGTGTATTTTAATTCATAGATGTAAATGCCATTTATCCATCATGAAGGACGTTTAATCCATTTTAGTGTTCAAATTAATTTTTGTATATTTTAGGTTGGAGTGCGGAAGGGATATAACTTCTGTCTGTTTTTATTGCCATTATGTTAAGACAAACATCAATAAAAACCTGCCAGTTCTTCTCACCCTTCTCCATGCTACTCTAAAAAAAAACGTTTAATACTTTCTGTGCCATTGTTGCAAAGATTTTGATTCGCTTCCTGACTTAGTCAGATGGAATGAGGAACACTCACCCAAATTTTAACAGAAACAGCAATAAAAATTAAATCCGCTCCATAAAGTTTTGGTTGTAGCTGTGCAAATAAACTGCATTTTCTACCTCCATTTTCACTTACAGATGGTGTCCCTTCCACAAGTTTGTTGTGGTGTCCAAATAGGTGCTGGGAATGCATTGAGATGCCATGATTGTGCTCAGCCACTATATAAGAACTGTAGAAATAAAACTTACCCCAGCTCAACTGCTATATTCAAAGTTCAAAGTCTGAAGACCGGTGCTCTGGCTGGGACATTCAACTCCCCAAGCAATTAATCGATAGCAAATATATCCGGGCCACTTGGAGTACTCTTCAAAATAGATCTTTATTGGTTATACTGTGTCATTTTATATGTAGCCTATAAAGATCCATTTTGAAGAGTACTCCGGAGTGGCTGGCCATATTTCTATAGATTAATTGTAAAAAAACTGACCAATTTACAGGATGCCAGGTGTTGTCATTTGCCACCTACAATATTTTGTTACATTCCTCTTACATGGCAAATCAAAGTAGACAAGTAAAATACAGCATGGCATAGATGGCTATTCAAAAATAGTCCCAAACATTTGAGAATTGTGGACAATATTAAAATACAAGTGAAAGAGATTGACAATAAATCTGATAGTAGCCCGCAGTATCTTTTTTATTCATATAATGAAATAACCCATTGGCCATTTTTGTATTGCATATGCTGGCTTTGATTTTTGCTGTTTCTTTTATCTGACTGATAACTTCTGTCTGACTAAAGACAATAGACCCTCTGCAGTCTGTATAGATGTTAAACACCCACAATGCATTCACTAGGTATAGTTATATAAGTTATTGTCACACAACAGAGCCCTGCTGATTGATATGAAGTGTGTTTGGTTTTAATGATAGGTCCTCTGTATTGGGAGGAGGAAAATGGAAAAAAATTTTTTAGCCTGCTAGGAACTGTCATTAGCCATAAAATCCAATAGTGTCTTTCAATTGATACAATAATATGTGCTCACGCAGAGAGAGAAGCTGAAAGACAATCCATTCTATGCACAGAAACACAGGGCAGCCAATATGAGATAAGTTGCTGCAGGTTCAGATAACATACAACAAATTCATTCTGAGTTTGTCTCTCGCCTTACTTACTGCACATTATCAAATTACAACATAATACTATATAAAGAAAAAAAATAGCAAAAACATTTGTCTTTCTGTCAAGACTGCTACATTGTTTATGCCAGCCTTTCTCAACCAGGGCGCCCAGGCACCCTGGGGTGCCTTGAGGTTTCTCCAGGGGTGCCTTGTCAAAATGTCTAAAAATTGCCCAAAACTTGTATGCAAGCTAGAAGGTGGAACAAGCCTGCCTTTTTGTTCCACAAAGCCACAGGCTTCCATTGTGCACCATTACGACCTTCTAGCCCTGGTGTGCTGACAACCAACGAGATCATCAGTTGATAAAGAGGATGTCAGTTGCCTGCACAGCATCCTAGTTTGATCTTCCCCTGCCCCTCTCTGTCAGTGCTGGGGTCACATTAGCTCAGTGATGGAGAAAAATGGAGAGAAGGGAAACACTGGAATACTAGTCAGTACCAGTGTAAAAGAGTGTATTTGCTTTGGAAGAATAAATCACCTCTAATGTTGGGTGTCCTACATGTGTGGATGTTGCTGCGTTATATAAAACTATTAGAATCATTTTTCACATTTTAGAATGGGGTGTCTGAAGACTGTCCATAATTTTAAAGGGTGCCCCGGGACTGTCCATAATTTTAAAGGGTGCCTTGACTGAAAAAAGATTGAGAAACACTGCTCTATACTATGTTGTCATTAAATTGGTTATAATTGGTTGAAAAAATGGATATGTGGGCATTTGCCTCTCCTCCCTATTTGCTTATTTGCTTAGCATTTTCATTTGAACCTGCAAATTATTAAAACTCTGGTTTATTAAGAAACGGAGTGCAAAATCCACTAATTAAGTATAAAGTACAGTAACCTCAAGCAACCAATCAGAATTCAGTGTACTGGAACCACATCAGTCAAATGATTTCTGATTGACTGCTGTTTTATTGATCGTGCTCTTGTTGTTGAAATTGTACCATCATCACCTTGACTTCAGCAAAAAAAGTATTCTTAGTATTTGCTTTACAAGCAGTAATATGCTTTTCCATTTTATAAAATGTAACGTGAGCAGACTGTCAGTAGCACTTTACATGATCAAGCTGTATACAGGCTTTACAATAGTTAGGCAAATATTTGGAGTTGGATAAAAGCACTTAACTCCTATAGTGCCAATAATGTTTCTATGTGTTCTTCGACAATAGGACATATGTTTAATATCTTTACTGCCAGATCAGAACACAAAGAGTAACATACCGTAGTCCTTGCTAGTACTAAAGAAGCCAAAGAGCCCCTACTTCAGTGTGCATTCACCTACATAGTAAATTGGGCTGCCGGGGTGGATGGATGCACCACTCATTGCATCTGTCAGTTTTGCTCACCTGTCATTTTCAGTGGCCTTTTAAATCAAGGCCTCACACATAATAGGCTGCAAATCATCTTACAGAAAAGCCATTCTGAGCAAACACCGGGCATATCATATTAAAGCCACATTGATTGGAGTGCTAGGATTCAATTCATCAACAGATGCTAACATTGAAGAGAAATCTCTCTACAACTATTGATCATATGCAGACTTTGGCAGGGTGATGATGGCTGGGATTGTCATTTACAAACAATAATAGGACCGGGATGAATACATTATGATTAGTCACACAGTAAACACAGTAAAAAGAAACTCTATGTCATAAAATAACATTTTCAGAGAAAAACTGAATGCTTTACATTAACCATAATGTGGCGGGATGCATGACACCACACCCATCTGCTCTAATAGCTCATATTTATTATATCTCCAGCAGTCATTTTCATCTCCATTCATAGAGATATATAGCAATATGGACTGTACCACTCCAAGGGTACAAACATTTCTATTACTACTACTGTTTTTTTTCATGTTGTCTCTACTGTAACTATTACTACTACTTCTAATGATGTCTCTACTGTAACTATTACTACTACTTCTAATGATGTCTCTACTGTAACTATTACTACTACTTCTAATGATGTCTCTACTGCTGCTATTACTACTACTGCTTCTAATGCTGTCTCTACTACTAATACTGCTGCATCTAATGCTGTCTCTACTACTAATACTGCTGCATCTAATGCTGTCTCTACTACTAGTACTACTGCTGCATCTAATGTTGTCTCTATTACTAGCACTACTGCTGCATCTAATGCTGTCTCTACTACTGGTACTGCTGCTGCATCTAATGCTGTCTCTACTACTAGTACCACTGCTGCATCTAATGCTATCTCTACTACTAGAACCACTGCTGCATCTAATGCTGTCTCTACTACTAGTACCACTGCTGCATCTAATGCTATCTCTACTACTAGAACCACTGACTGCTGCATCTAATGCTGTCTCTACTACTAGTACTACTGCTGCATCTAATGCTGTCTCTACTACTAGTACTACTGCTGCATCTAATGCTGTCTCTACTACTGGTACTACTGCTGCATCTAATGCTATCTACTACTACTAGTACTACTGCTGCATCTAATGCTGTCTCTACTACTAGTACTACCACTGTATCTAATGCTGTCTCTTCTACTAGTACTGCTGCTGCATCTAATGCTGTCTCTACTACTAGTACTACCGTACTACCATTGCATCTAATGTTGTCTCTATTAGTAGTACTACTGCTGCATCTAATGCTGTCTCTACTACTAGAACCACTGCTGCATCTAATGCCGTCTCTACTACTGGTATACTGCTGCATCTAATGCTGTCTCTACTACTAGTACTACCGCTGCATCTAATGCTATCTCTACTACTAGTACTACCACTGCATCTAATGCTATCTCTACTACTAGTACTACTGCTGCATCTAATGCTATCTCTACTACTAGTACTACTGCTGCATCTAATGCTATCTCTACTACTAGTACTACCACTGCATCTAATGCTATCTCTACTACTAGTACTACCACTGCATCTAATGCTGTCTCTACTACTAGTACTGCTGCTGCATCTAATGCTGTCTCTACTACTAGTACTACCGTACTACCATTGCATCTAATGTTGTCTCTATTACTAGTACTACTGTTGCATCTAATGCTGTCTCTACTACTAGTACTACTGTTGCATCCAATGCTGACTCTACTTGTACTACTGCTGCATCTGAATGCTGTCTCTACTACTAGTACTACTGTTGCATCTAATGCTGTCTCTACTACTAGTACTACTGTTGCATCCAATGCTGACTCTACTTGTACTACTGCTGCATCAAATGCTGTCTCTACTACTAGTACTACTGTTGCATCTAATGCTGTCTCTACTAGTACTACTGTTGCATCCAATGCTGTCTCCACTACTACTCTGTCCAATGCTGCTTCTTTTATTTTTACTGTTACTGCTTCTAATGCTGTCTCCACTGCAAGATCCACTATGGTTACTAATGTTGTTTATACTCCTGTTATATCTATTGCTCTTAATGCTGTTTCTACTACTACTACTACTATTACTACTACTACTGTTCCTAATGCTGTCTTTAGTACTCTCACTACTACTACTGTATCTAATTTTATCTCAACTACTTCTCCTAATGCC